AGTCGTGGGGAAAATAGTATTATCTAATAATGGACCTATAGCAGTAGGAAACCCTGGATTTAGTGAGATATGCTATCAGAGATTAGAATTCTAATAAGATCTCAAAGAAAAAAACAAGTAAAGATTATTTTTTTGGGTCCAACTGAATAGCAGATACGAAAGATTTATGTGATGAAACATATAATTTAACAGATATTTTACTCATAAATGAGTTCTTAGTAGGTTCCCAGCCCTCCGAAAATGCCTCATCCGGCAGCTCTATCTGAACTAAAGCAAGCTTTGGTTCAACTCTCTGGGTATATGCCCTTCCTTTGTAGTTCACAACTAACCAGTTCCGATCCCATCGAAATCCTGTGTATCCAAGCACAGCACAAGTAACCATAACCAAAAAATTATCAAAATTATGTTCACAAACATAACACGGAACATATCAGAAACCAAGAAACTCAAAAACCAATCAGAAACAACTAATCATGCGCATGCCAAAAAAAATCCAATTTATTTCAATATTGTTTTTTTTTTTTTCCCGGCTGGTTTCTCAAAATCCGCACTTTTTTCCAGGTAACTTCAACATAGTGACTTCTAAGAAAAAATAAATGAATAAAACTTGACATCACCAAAAGGTACAGTTATAGTGAGAAGCTCAAGAACCATAAAGATAAATAATAATAATAATAAATGAAACATTCTCTGAGATTACCCATTTCTTTCAAGATAGTGAGTGATATAGTGACCAGGCAGAAAATTAAAAACAAAAAACAGATAAAGGGACTCCCAAAAATATAAAGAGATGAGAAGAAAATCAAGTGGGGTAAAAGGAAATTCATAGAAGAAGCAAAGAACAAGTAGTGGTTTATTATATTACCAGTAGGCGTTAGAGGTGCCTGAGAAAGGGAAATTCCACGGCATGATTTAACGGGGTATACAAATATTGATGATACTTTGGCAGTTGCCTCCATCTTCTCTCTGTTTTTCTCTGACACAGGGTTGTTCTGGTGAGAAATGGTCGCCTCGACGTCTTGTCTTTGAATTCCTACATTACCTTATAAAACATATAGCAGACTTTTTGCTGAGATGATGGTTTTATTATTGTTTATATAAATATTGATCGATCGGATGCCGTCAATAGAGTAGAAAGACAACAAATTTGAAAATAGATTAAATTTATTAAAATCATCAGAAAATGCTTGTTACTTTTGTTAATGGCGTTCCAATCAATTTGGATTCCAAGTTAAAGTGATTTCATTTCAAATTCAGGGTTATTATTTTTTTTATTCTGAATTAAGTGATAAGTGTATGACCGTGACCTCGACGGACAAGACAACATTGACAAATGTAATAACTGATAAGATGCAGGCAAGCTGCCAAGCTCAATTAACACGTTTTCCATTTTATTTATTTATTTTATGTCCTTTTTTCTTTATTATCAATGCTTTAGAATATTACAATGTGTACTTATTTGATGTTTTCAATTAATATGATTGTTTTTTAATTTAAAAACGTGTTAAATAATTATTTTTTGGATTTCCTTAACGAGTAAAGTGTTTTAAATTGATATAATTATTTAACATTTAATGATTGGACATTTTGAGATTAAAACTCTTTTTATCGAAATGGTTTTTTTATAAGATGTTTTTTTCTTCAACAAAGTTCTATAATAAATTAAACCTAATAAGTATTTTAAAATAGTATCATCATGCATGGCTTTTATTATAAGGAAATTCGGTATTTTTTTTAAAAAAATTCATTTATTTTACTTTAAAAATAAAAATAGTCAAACCAATCATTTAAAATTAATATAATAATAGTTATTTAAAAAATAATAGTAGCTAAGTCTAATTTGCTTTTTATTATCTAGGTTATTTATCTTTTACATTAATTCATATTGACTTCGAGTGTATTTTAATCTATTTTTTTATTTAATTTTATACTTTAAAAGCTTTTCTTCATATTATTATGGTCATAAGTTTTGTAAAAAATATCATTTATTTATTATTGTTGTTTTTTTAATTGTTTAATTAAAATAGATCTAACTTATTAAACTTGATAAGCTTTTTAACCTCAGTTATTTGTTTTTTTTTTTAGTTTTTTTTTAAAGCATTTGAGACACTTAGACTATTGTTGCTTCTTTTTTTGTTTTTATTTTAATTATAATTGATATCTCTCCTCAATATTTTTTTTTTAATTTTGCTTCCTTAGCTTCTTTTGAATAGATATTTTCTTTAAAATTATTTTGTATGTTTTTAATTTTTAAGATATTATTTCGATTCACCCATAGATTTTTTTTATGTTTTATATAGATAAATCTCATTTTTAAAAATAAAAAAATATTTATTTTTAGATAATATTTCTCATATGTGAAGCATTATAATATATTTTTTTCTCTTTTTATTTAATTCAATTAGTTTCGTATGTGTATCTATTTCTATTATTCTTGATTGAATAAAAAAATAATTATAATTAAAAAATTTAGTAAACATATTCGGGTAAATATTCCATGTTATGAAATCAAATATTCTTATCTATATCTATCTCTTGATTTTTTTTATTTTTTTGTTATCATTAATAATTTTATTTATTTATTTATATATGTAATTATCGATTTATTTATTAGATACCTACATAAGCTTTTTGATTTATACTTATAATTTTTTTATGTAAGAAAATGCTTTGAAAAATCTTGCATATCAATTTTTTTAAAAAAAAAATATGTGACTTATGGTGAAGGTTAAATTTGTAGTTAATTAACAAACACTAAAAAAGTGGTGCTTTTACCATTCAACACATCACAAAATACTATTTATTATAATGATTTTTTTCTTTTATATTTTATATTTTTAATTTCAACATTTTAATTTATTGATGATTTATCTTTATTATTTTATTGTGGTTTACCTTTTATATGGCCATCTCAATTTCATAACTCATGCCATAGATTTAATGGGTTAACTTGAGTGTTTTTATCTCCTTTTTAGTTGTTATTTTTTTTAATTTTATTATTCAACATTTTCAACATTGCATTGATTATAAATTAGGCTTTGTTATTTTTTTTACTTTATTTTTTATGAAGTTATTATAATCTCATGAATTGGATCACGCGTTTTGCAAGTTAATTTAAGTAGATCTCAAATTGTTTTATTGTGTCCCTTTTTTATATTGATTTTTTTCAATTTCATAATTCAACAACGGGTTTATTAGAAATTAAGCTTCATAATTTGTTTAATTTTTTATGGGGTTATCGCAGTCTCATGAATCAGGTTGCAAGCTTAGTTGATTAATCTAAGTTGATCCAAGTTATTTTTTTGATTTACTTTTAATAAGGTTATCCTGATTTCATGATTCGAGTTATATATTTAGTGAATTAATCCAAGTTGACCAAGTTGTTTTTTGTGTTATTTTTTAAAATGAATTTTTTTAATTTCTTTCTTTAATATTTAGTTGATTAATAATTAGACTTTATAATTTATTTTGATTTACTTAGTATGAGGTTATCCTGATCTCATGACACGAGTCATGGATTTAACAGGATAACTTATGTTAACTTAAGTTGTTTTTTGTCCCTTTTTAATGATTGTTTTTCATTTCATTATTTAATATTGAATTGATTGAAAATTAAATTTTATAATTTATTTTGATTTGCTATATATAAAGTTAATATGGACTTATAACTTGGAGCATGGAACCGATCTAATATGTTGCAGTCTTAATTTTTTTTTTAAAATAATGTTATCTTGAATTTTTCTCAAACTATGTTTTACCTTATTATTTAGATTATTTTTGAACTTATCAAGTTAATCAAGTCATATTTAATTAATTTCCACATAATTTTTTTTCTACTTCACAAATATTAGATATGTCTGGATTTTTTTTAATTACCAAGAATCTTGGAGCTTATAATGACTGCCATTCCGCTTCAAAGTTTATCTTAAAGATAAAATGTAGAGAACTCATTCTAAAATTTTGTTAGGGAACACAGCTGAAACCGTGTTTTCTTAGATTTTAATTTTTTTTTATATTTTTAAATTATTTTAATATGCTAATTTAAAAAATAATTTTTAAAAAATAAAAAATATTATTTTAATATATCTCTAAACAAAAAAAATATACTAAATCACAGTAGCTAATACAATTCGAAACAAGTAATAAGTGATCGGAGGCGGTTCCATCGAATCAAGGATGGAACTTGTTCTTTTGACGATTATTGGTGAAAAAATGACCTCAAGCAGCTTAACAGGGGCCATGGCATTCCCTCATTCCTGTACATGCGTATCGAGATAATCCCATAGGTTTTCCACCCTCTGATATTGATGTTTTAACTGAAATCTATTGTATCCTCGACAACGTCAAATATAGAAGAAAAATCAAACACAAAACCTCTAGTTTTTAAGCTCTTCCTCAAGACTTGTCAGATATTCTAGTTAGAGTAACTAAATCTTTGGGGTTTACTTCTATTTCCTTTCTGCATTTTGAAAGAAAACTCATCAAGAACTTGACAACACTAAATCGGAGTTCAGAATCTCACGCCCCAAATTTTCATCTATGAGCGGATCTCGAGTCCTTCTGAACAAGCACCAGGAATCCGGAATGTGCATTCAATGGTTGCATGAAGAAGAGAATCGTCCGGTGGTGTTTCTCACAGAGAAAATAACTATATGTTTCAGCTAAAATGAAGAATATGGAGAGGAGAAACTAATCATTTAAGTTAATTCTGGTGCAGGCTCATTCAAATCATTTGTAATTCTGGAAATTTCTGCTTGAAGCCTCGTCAACTCCATCTCTATTCTTTGTGCCACACAGCATGGAGACTAGCATATTCCTTCCCTTGCTTTAGGGACTGGCTTGTCATGTTGACATCCTTGAAATGTTAAACCATGAAAAATCTTCACCTTTTGTTTTATCTCCACTGCCTTTTGTAATTCACCAATATATTTAAATCGGTACCAACATTTTATGGAGCACTAGCTATCTTGAAGTGCAAAAAACTTTACGCAACTCAGAAGTCAGAATAAGTCTTCCATCAAATGCGGGGAAAACACAGAAGGATGGAGTATTATTTAGTTTCTCCGCGCTGTAAATTTAGCTCTGAAATAAGCTCAAAGAAGACATACTAGCTTAACTGCAAAAAATAGAGTTAGAACTCATTCTCTATCCTCTTTTTAGCACCTGCACTGCACAGTCACTTGAGACAAGCAAGAAATGTGCGATTCCATAGACAACATTAGATGGGTAGTATGTTTTTCCACATCAATGTATGCCCATATTAATAGAAAGTACTCGTCCCTGAATAGTGGGCGCTGTGCAAGAAAAGATGGCACAAGCATAAAAATCCTAAAGTTGTGACAAAACCAGAAAATACTATTGATCAGAAAAAAACCACTCAATTTGTTTGAAAAACAAGAGAAAATCATCATTTCCCCTTATTACGCTTCACAGCACCCTTCCCTTGTCCCTTCTTGGGTGGCCCCTTTCCACGACGCTTCAAAATTTCAAGTTTTGATAATCGCCTAGCAAAGCATGATAGAAAATGATGTCAGAAAAACATGCAAGATTTAATTCGAATAGCTACTTAAAGCTGATATTCTCACAAGTGCTGTGATCAATCATCTCCTAAGGAAAAATGCAGTTTGGTTAAATGCCGGGCAAAGAGAAATGAAACGCCAAAGCTAACCAATGTCTTTATAAACTCACAAGAAAAACGAAAGTCTATACATTATAGGACTGCAAATGACATTCTTTGAATGATAATTAAAAATTCATGTTCAGAACTGATCACCTCAACTAGTTTGGGATTAAGGTTTGTTGTTGTTAATGTTCACAATTGATCACCTAAAAAAGACGCATAACGTTTTATCTGCAAGTAGTCTAATTACGAAGTAGCTTCTCTAAAATCAATCTGTTACAAATATCGATATACCTGATCTGAAATTTTACTGCCATTTTTATGCAGTTATTCAAAACGGTCACGATTAAGTGATATACAGAAGCCTTAGATTAATCATAAATACAAGTGACATCAAGAAACTTATTTTCAGAGGCTCAGGATTTGTGGCCAAGAAAATCACTTCAGATAAGACTTTAAAATTTAATATTCTTAACATGGCATGAAACTTTCTAAGACAACTTCTCTGAAAATGCTTGAGATAGAGGGACAATTCAGCATTTTTATTATCAGAGATGAATCGGTTCCATGGTAGGACAATTCAGCATTTTTATTATCAGAGATGAATTGGTTCCATGGTACGCAAGTTTTAGTAGTCCAACAGCTATGATCTGTCAAAGATTAATCATGACAGGATGTTAATGTCTTTTCAATATCCATTCAAGCAAATATTGTTGCTCATGAAAATCATCCCCATGTGTGAAGTCCCCGGTATGGGAAAACAAGAAGAAATTTCAATGCAAAAACATCGTAGAAGGTAACTACTACAGAGTTTCAACTTAAGCAACCTCTTTGCCTTTTCTTTTGCCCTCTTCTTATGGTTATCTTCACAAATCTTTAATATTCTTCTAACTAGATAAACATTTTGCATTCACAAGAAAGATCTTAAATCTCATTTTTTTTCTTGCATTATATGCTCAGCGTTCAATTTATTAAAGGTTAGCTATAGCATACAATTTACACATCTTGGACTGCTACTGCCTGAATATAAAGATCAGCAATTCATCTCCATGGAAGGAGAAATGACAGTCCAAAGTAACTAAATGCTTTTGATCAACATATTATGTTTGCCTTTTGGCTGACTCAAGCAGTGTAGGAGGCAAGATGGCTCAGGATATATCCTACGTTTGAGACTTGGAAACAAGCAAGATTAATCAAACCCAAAACGTTCATGGCTTGCAATGCTAAATCGTCCTCAACAAAGTTAGCATGGTAAAACACAAAGCAGCACTAATAAGACATCCTTCTAAATACAGTTGCCTGTCTGATCCTATAACACACTGTTTCACTCAAGAGATTATGGCCCTTTATTATTATTTTCTTTTCAAAGACCCGCTTAGCAATCTAAATGAGTAAATCCAGTACCGCATTCCCTATAAATAGAATCCCCTTCTCCCTAAACACAAGTGACAAACCTTTCCAATAACATAATTTCTTAACTAAATCAACAAAACCCACTTGAAAATCACAAAAAAAACAAAAAAAAAAACAGAAACCCAACAATCAACACATCAAAGCAATCGAACATCAAGTGGGAAAATAAAGAAAAAACGACGAACGAGAGAGAAAAGGGGGAAGAAGTGCTTACTTTTCTTCGCGGCGATCAATGTTAAGAGGGTCATCTTTCGTGATATCATGGGGGTACCATTGTGCCACTTTTTCACCAAAGAGTTTCTTTCGCAAAATCTTGTGAGGAGATCTTAGACCAGTTGGGTTAAGTACGTGACCAAATATCCTCGCCCTCGCCTCCTCCACTCCTTTGGTCACAGCTACTGCCAATAATTGCTTTAGCCTACCCCCTCCACCGCCACTCATCTTACCTAATTAATGTAATAAAAACAAAAAATACACACTTTTTAGTCACTTTCCCTAAGAGAAATCGATGTTAAGTGAATAAATAAAGAAATTACTTTCGGGTATTTCAACAAACACCTGGAGTGCAAACTACGACTATGAGAGCAAGAGAATAGCACACCTGAACCGGCTATCAAGTACAGCGAGTGATTCAATTATCAGGGACTGCCACACATTATCAAAACGGTTGCAACTGAGGTCCGGTAAGCTTCAGGCCTGGATTTGGCTTTCAGGGTCCATAATCCATACATCAGCCCATTTCTTTTCGTTCTTTCTTTTCCGAAAACAAATTTTATATCAATTTTACCCGCAAAGATATCTAATGTTTTCAATTGTATCCTTCTGTCACCCTCCCTTCTAAATATTGAAGACAATCCGTTAAATGCCCACATTGCAACTACAAGATCTAAAGATTTGTTAAATTAATAATATAACACGTGAAAATAAAATTATTGTAAAAAATATGATACCCAAAAATTCAATTTTTTTTTTAAGTTTTGAGTTTGAAAGGAATTTATTTTTTATTTTTTAATAATTTATCTTAGAATTTAAAGTTTTCTTATTTAATGTTATTAGTTCAACTAACAATCAATTTAATTTTAAATTGCAAGTTGGTGTTGGAACATTGTCATCTCAATACCCAATTTAGACTAGATGCATTCATTGAACAATGTAAAAAAATAATGTATGACCATAATGAATTTTGTTTTGTATTTTGTTAGATACCATGAATAATATTTCTTGGATTTTCTGTTAATGTCATGAAATATAGGATTTTAATTTATGTTCATTACAACTCAAATATAATTTGTTATTTTTATTCATTTTATTTGATCATGATAACCAATATTTTAATTAACAACATTGACATTACACATACTAATTGGCTACCAATAACAACTTTGCGTTTGCAAAACTAGTGTTTATGTTGTAATTTTTTTATCTAAATTCCATGTAATTCATCTTTAATTATCCTCATATCTATTATTTGATCAATATAATTAGCACATTCTCTCACTTTAGTAGTTAATTCAATATCATTAATAAATTTGCATCAATTAATGAATTCATTATCACATAACTTGCCATTCCATCTTTAGAATAACTTGTTTTTACTGGTATTTGATTTCAATATCCTAACAAATGTTTTCTTTTTAGTATCTTGTGCATTTTTTATTTTTAAACTTTAGTTCATTATATTCGTTTAAGTTTGTAGGCTACTAGTATTTGATGAATAAAACATGAATTCAACTTTGTGTGCTACAATTTTTGGGTTATTATGGATTGTGACGAAGTTTTGTGCTATAATGATATAGGGTGACTTGCTTGAAATGATCGAGATTTGTTGAGAAAATTCATGTGGGTGTGTTCTTTAATTTGATGTTTGTGTTTAGTGGAAATTTTAAGGGATGACGAAGCATTTGTGAATGGTTGTGTTAAGTGGAAATATTAAGTAAAAATGGATTGAATTGTTATAGACATGAAGTTAGTGTCATTTTTATAAATCTAAAGCCATATATTACAGCTTTTTCAAAAAAAAATTGGCAACGATCTAGCATGTTATACAATGATCATGCAGTGGTAATTTTGTTATTTTTAAGTAATATGAACTCCTTAGTCATTAAATCTAAAATAATTATAACTTCTAAAAATTATGACTGTTTTGTTGATTTTTTTGAACCAAAACTAGAAGACATAAAGTGCTATAAATTTATTAAAGTTAAATATGTAGAGTGTAATTTTTTTAAATATAGAGGTAAAGCAAAAAAAAATAAAAAATGATTAACTATAGGAGGCTTGATGTAATTATACTATATAATATAATATCTATTTTTATTATAATTTTCATAGATTTATTATTCTATTTAATAATACAGATGTGTAAAAATGACTGATTTATAATTTTTTATTTTTTTATTGACCTCATAATAAGTTTTTATTTAAACAACAATGTCTCTAATGAAAGAAAATAATTTTCCTTAAAAAAAATAAATAAATAATAGATTTTTTTATTAAAAAGAAATATTTTTCCTCTTTAATTTAAGTTATTTGAATTTTTATGAATATTTTTTTTAATTATTATTAACTTTTATTTAATAAACCATTCCACTACTAAAAATACAATTATTATGAAAAAAATAAATTATAAGAACAAGAAAATATAATTTTTTTAACATAATCTTAACTATTGTGTTTCTTATGAATATTTATTTTAATTATTATATAATTAAAATAAAATAAATTCTGAAAAATGACACGTAAATACACAAACATTTTACTAGCATTTTATGTTATAATTTGCTCTCAAAGCTTCCTTGCTACCCCCGCAGCAACAACTCTACTAATTTATATTTTCAAATTGAAAACAGGTATTGGCCCACACAAGAGATTATAAGGTAATATTCCGAGAAAAAAAATCGTAAAAAAGTGTCAAATATGATTACATCCAAAATTAGGTCAAGATAAACCGACTCCCCCAACTCTTGTAGGCATTTTGATTTGGTTTCTGATGGATTTTCTGCAAGCAAAAGTTTGTCAATTGCATCCAAAGGGATCAAAGCACGGTGGTTATACTCTGATAAAATCCAATATTGAGGTTGGTTAATAGCTGCAAATGCTAATTACCAATCCCATTTACATTCATGGCCTGAATCCAGATCGAGACATAGTTGCACACATTTTTGATCATGTCCGAATGCGGGAACGTGGACGACTACAGCGCATGAAAAGCAGTTGATGAACTATGCTTTCGCCATTTGGTGCATCAGAGATGTATAACAAAATTGTCATGACTCAATTGGAAAGGAAAACTCCATGCTTAAAACAGTATGCGCTCTTGATACATTTCCAATGCCTGGACGACCTTCTCAATAAGCAACTTCCGGTGCAGTCTATACCTGTGTAGATTCAGGTTATTTATTTGAAACGAAAAGAATTTCGAAATCAAATGTACTGAGAACAGTATCATATAAAAACATACTTGATTGCAGCTTCGAGGGTCCTCGTCGCTTCTGGCATAGAATCTGTTATGATTGAGAAAAATAGAATTAGTTTTACCGAGAAAAGCCATGCTTGGTACTAAAATCTTCCAGTAGTACAGAAGCTGGTTCAAGATTCCAAAACAAGGAATCCATAATCTGAACTTCTGAAATTTAATAAGTTTTACGAACTGAACAGATCAAAATGAACAGAATATCCCTGAACATTGTGCATTCGGTCAATCCTAACATATCAAGTATCAGTCCAATCATTCTATTGTCACGACTTGAGGATACTGTCTGATAGGGAAATCTAGCACTTAGAGAGAAGACCAACTGCTCCAGTCCTTTGAGAAATTATTTTCAGGATGATAAGCACCTAAATTTAAGATATTTTGCAAAGCTCAAAGGTGGCAGAAGAATCCAATTGGTGTGAAGCATCCAATTAGTTTCAATAATTTACCTAGTATTTTCAGGTCTTTCTTAGAAGTTGTAGGAAATTGTGCTAGCATCTTCTGGCATTCTTCTTGCAACTCCTTCACAGCTTTCCTTTCTATGCTTGGGACAGGAGGCAGATCTCCATCTGACCAAGTGGGCAGCGTTCTTGCTGCTGCTATAACAGCTCCATCAACAAAAGCATCTCCCTCTTTGGATAGCAGACCTGCTAGAAAATTTTCATCTTAACATTTTTGATAAACAGCTAGAGTTCATCCATAGAAATGATAAGTACAGCAAGTTGGTGCAGAGAATATAAGAAAAATACTCAGCCCGTACTGTTATGACAATATTCTTCAGGCAGGCCAGATATATTGAAGACTGACAGGAAAGAATCCAAATGTATGCGTGCATTGCCAGAAAATCGGATTACATCCCAAGGATTCTGAAACATTAAGACAACATTTTGTGTTAATTCTTTGGGGCATTGAGGCCAAAGAATGAGAGTACAGGATTATAATTTGAAGGACTAGCAAACATACAAGAATAACTTTAAGAAAAGAATAGAAGTAACCGCCCATTACATTAAAATGTTCCCTATAAGTTGAAATACAAAGATCCTGATTCAATTGAATACTTCTGTAAACAATTCCACTATGACTTGACAAAAAAGAAAAAAAAAAGACCTTTCTCAAACAAATGGTCCTACACTCATGCTACAAAATTATCATAATAAGCAGAATACTAAATCTAAACCAGGATTCTGGTGGTTTGAAACAATAAATTCCCAAGCCCATCATGCTGTAAACTACAGTATAACTGTCTTCATTTTAGATGGTGCTAAGGGAAAATTACCACTGGCGATGAAAAACCATATCGTTGCATGAACATGTCATTCTTCTGTCCGCTCATGTAATTGACAGTCATCTGTACAAAATTTATGAAACCAACAGGATCATATCCATACTGGAGCAAGTTAAGAATGCACATAATTCTATTCTCTAACTTGCAAAAAAAGTATCGAGGATGTTCATAAGAAGTTAACTAAGTAACCAATTTGAATTACACAATTAAATGAGTATGGGCAGGGACCATAACATCACACAATGCTTCTATTTACAAAAGCTGCTATGACCTTTTCACAACTTGATCCTATAAAAGAAAATCTCAACATTTAGTAATGTTCATGAGCGGTTGTACTAAGATTTTATCCAATAAAAAAAGCAGTGACACTGAATATGGAATTATAAGGATAGCAAAATCTTAAAGTTTCTGAGCAATGAATTTCTCATGCCAATGTAATTCCAAACACAGATTCTAGCATAGTTTTTCAATTTCCAACAATAAGTGTTGTGTATGCATTTCCATGATGGAGATACCAGACCAATTTAAGAATAAAAATCAAAATTTAGGAAAAATATACAGAATCATACCTCTTCTCCTTTCCTTATCTGTTGCCCGGCATTTATCATAACCGCAAGCATGCGATCCTTAAATCGCCAATGGAAAAAACAGTTTGGCTCGAAGGAATGGTTTAGCATGTCTGCAAAATATCACTAGATTTACCTGGCGTAGATATTGGAGAAATTGACAAAAGAGGCAAAGCCCTAGTATTCTACAAAAGGTGATGGAGATATAAAGGGAAATCTAAATGTGGAGGATGTAAATACTAAAATTTTAAGGCCAGAATTCAGGAAAAGAGAAACATCAACTGATCCCAAGAACAAGTCATGGAACTTATGACCAAAAATAGGTATAACATCAT